AGAACTAGGGTTATGGGGGGGTACAGAGTTTAATACACCTGAGGATACAGGCGGTAGAGTTTTGAATTTATTGGACTTCATGAATGATGGAGCTGGGGAGACCAACGAGGAGGGCACTGGAATAATTGAGGCGTGATGTGGCGAAACCCTGGACAAGGGTTTCAACTGCGTTAGTTGTGAGGTACAGTCAGAGGTGGAGGAAAGCTGTCCTGGTCAGGGATCAAATGTGGGGTAGGAAGGACAGTTGGGGTTCGAACCTGACACCTATGACACATGGCTTCTGTCTTGTCAACATTCAGCTGCAGAAAGTTGGCGCTAATCCAGATAAAACAGCAGTGCCTTGCCCCCAAATAATAACATAATAATAATAATAATCTTGCATTTGGTAAAGTGACTTTCAAGTCAGGAGGATGTCTCACAGGTTGTTACTAAAAGTGTATAAACTGAATGTTGTAGACAAAATACAGCTAGGTTTCAAACTCATTTAAAGGTTCTTGCATATCTTGAAGAACTGGAACTAGCTGACAGGAAAAAGGGTCTATTCCTTTCTCCTAGTACTATTCATGTGTGATTGGCACTGGTGGAATTTATCCTGTGTCTCCTTTGCTAGTGCTTTATATTCAATACACCCCTTTGTTAAGATCTCATGGCTCTATGGCTAGGGATAGTAAATGAGAGCTGAAAAGCATACCCAACAGAATCTTATCTTTCAGCATCCACCACAAAAAGACATTTGTGACTCAGAATAATAAAAATAATAATAAAAATAGCTTACATTTGATATAGCACCTTATCAGATCGTTGAGATGTCTCAAAGCGCTTCACAGAATTTACTGAAAAGTGAAAACAAAACAGAAGTCACTGGAACACTCAGCAGGTCGGGCAGCATCTATGGAGAAAGGAAAGTGAGTCAACATTTTGGGTCCATGACTCTTCGTCAGAACAGAGTACAGTGTACAATACAGTTGTACCAGCGGAGTGAATAGGTCTCATGAGGTCTCACTGGAGGATTAGAAGGATTTTTTTTAGCTGTCATCAGACGAATAATAATCCTTGCATTAAGGATCTAAGTTAGGTCTTGCCTGAGTCTGTTGTCATAGCTGAAGACTAGTTGATCCTGGAGATGTTTTGTAGACATTTTAATGACCCTTTCTGCAGGTTCACTGAACAATTTAAGATCTACTTCCTCTGAGCAACTTCCTTGATGGGCAACTTAGGAAAACACAGAAAATAATAATAACTTGCACTCCTGTACACCTTTCATATAAAATAATCGTCTCAAAAGCGTTTTACAAAAGATACTTGATTAGAAATGAAAGTGAACATTGTTAAATGTACACACAGGGCAGCTATTTTGTGCCACCAACACATCACAAAGAGATGAACAGCCAATCCTTTTGAATTTGGGCATAAATTTGGAGCGGGTAACTCAGTTTTGCTTGGTGCCTAAGGCATTAGAAGCAGTTGAGCTGGCGCCTTCTTGTGAGGACCCAGTAATAATAATCCTTGCATTTCATATAGCGCCTTATCATGACTTTGCGACGTCTCAAAGTGCTACACAGAATATACTGTAAAGTGAATTGATTGCATATTTTGTGGGCGAAACGTGGCAGCCAATTGCACACAGTAGTGTCCCACAAACAGTTGTGGATTGAATGACCGAATTATAATTTATTTTTAAAAGTTTATTACCCCAGGAAAAATGATCCAACAATCGACTAACAACCGGGTTCCTACTTACTGCTAGGTGAACAGAGGCGTGTGGAGTAAGGAAACTTGCCCAACGTTTTGCCCTGCCTGGGAATCAAACCCAGGTCCTCTCGCTTGCGAAGTGAGTGCTCTAACCACTGTGTTACAGGACTCCATAGTAGGTCAATTCCCAAGCAAGTCATTTGAGTAAGTTCTGCTGAGAAACACGAAACCCCACGTTCCACCAGTCTTAGCCTGTAGGACCATTTTTGTCTCAAAAAATAAGGTAAAATTGTAGAAAATTCTTAAATTCAGTCTTATTGTTGGAAGCCAGATTTACAGAATTGAGCAGAATTGGCTGTTCATCTCATTTTCTTTATCAGCGGTTGCTGGCACAGATTCCTTGTACCATGGAAATTGTGCTTCCTTGTTTTCCCCCTCCTTAATTTTCTCTCCGCCTTTTAAGAAAATGTTTTTTCTCCTTTGTTCCTTCTCGTGTTCTGGGGTGTTGTTACCCCACGAGAATTTAATAATAATAATTGTTACATTTGGCATAACGCCTTTCACATCAGGAGGACATCCCAAAACACTTCAAAGGATTTTAAAAAATGTTTTGTCAGTCGGATGTCTGAAAAATGCTTAAGAGTATCCAAACCAAGCTGAGATTTCCATGCGTCCCACCTACACATGGAAATCCCAGAGATAAATTGTTGGAATGGAATGCGCACTCTCTCCCTGGAGGGCCACATCCTGTTTACGTAATTCCAGAAAATATTCTACGCAGGTTGGCAAGAGCCAAGGCTTGGGGTCCGCAGAGCATCCGTCGGGATACTGCTGGGGTCTAACCAGTTAAACCCGCATAGCTTGCCATTGACATTGTTGTCTGGCAAGCTTTCATACTGCTTGTCCAGCTAGGACCACCCTACCCTTATTTTAGGGCTTTGGCTTGCAGGGTTAGCAGGAGCTGAATGGGATGATTCCCGGTCCCCAGTGACTGGTCTGCTGTTCCAGGTCCTGTTGATGAGCCAGGCTGGCTGTGCTGTCATCAGCAGTGCCCTGGAGTACTGCGGACCTGTCTGGCTCAGGAATAGGATTATGGAGACCGCCACAGAGAACTGGCTCAATTCCAACATTCCGTTGCCAGGTATGTCAAGTTGGAGCCAGTTTAGCACCAAGGAGACCCTACTTACCTCCCACCAAGGAAGATAGTCACTAGCTGATCATTCAACTTCTGACAAGCACGGGTTTGAGCCTTACTAGGCGGATGGTGGGCACAAGGGGCTCCCTGCGAGCTCCCGGTGGGCAACACATCTCAGCATGAAATGTGTGAGATCATTGCTACTGTCTTCCTGTCCGCAGCTCGGGGAAATGTCCCTTCCTATTGAGTGATGGTTCCACCAATTGGAGGTGCGGAGCTTAAGCAGCCGCTGCTTGCCTCTCTGCAAGCCAAACAAGGTGGATTCCAGGCGCTAGACGTATATGTGTGTTCACAAACTCAGACTCCAGGTAACGCCTTCCAGCAATTGTCATCCTAAGCCTCAGTTTCCTCCTCAGGTATCTGGCGGGCATCTGCTTTCAGCGTTGGGGGAAGACCTTTACAGGACAGCTAGCCACCTTGATGTTCTCGAGGTCCAAGTCCAGCTGCTTAATCCAGACCCTCATGCGAGGGGCCTTGACAAATAGACGTGCCCACTGTGAAGCCATCTCCAACTCCAGGGGGCTTAGCAACAGGACAGTGTAGGCCGGAGTAGTGTATCAGTCAGGGCACTAGCCTCACAAGTGAGAACTCTTACGTTCGATTCCCAGACAGGGCAAAACCTTAGGCAAGTTTCCTTACTCCACAGCCTGTTTAGCTAGCAGTAAGTAGGAACCTGATTGTTCATCGATTGGCGGATCACTTTCTGGGAGTAATAATCTCTCCCCCCACACAAAAAAAATTTGATCACTCAATCCACAATTGTTTGTGGGACACTGCTGTGCAGAGTTGGCTACTGCGTTTTGCCCACACAATATACACGGTCAATTCACTTTACATTATATTCTGTGAAGCGATTTGAGACATCTCAACGCTGTGATAAGGCGCTATATCAAATGCAAGGATTATTTGTTATTACTGAAGTTTTGTGTTATGGGCAACTCAAGTGTGAGCTTTGACAATGAAATTCAACCACAGGGCACATTGTTCTCACCACTGAAATGTGTACACAGGTGCAATTGCCTGCAAACGGTGTGGGTGGGGGTGACTCTGGATAGTTCCCAGGAATGGGAATCCAGGCTATTTTCTCTCTCCGTAACCCAGAGGTACTGAGACCAATTGGAGGACCAGCTATTGCCATGGCAACATGGGGACCTTCCAATTATTTTCTAGTTTTGTCCACGAAAGGCAGCTGGCAATGGAAGGCTAAGAATGATGTTGCCACGATATCTCGCAGATGAACTTGTCAGCGGCCTCAGCCTACATGAATGTGCTGACCTGAACACACCCTGCAATTGCCGAACATCTGCCAGAAAACCTTCAGAAAGCTGGACTGAACCTGAGCTCACAGGCCGAGAACGAGCCTGGGGTATTACTGCTATCTAAATTGCGGCTATTCATAACACGAGTTGTTAATAACAAAGTGGAATTGCAAATAAGTGGGAGTGTATCACTTTGATTCACTCCGGAAGTAGATTGTGTTAATTAGAGTTCCTGAAGGTTAGCATGCTGTACTTCCAGTCACCAGAAGGAGTCGCTGTTTATTTCTTAGCGTTGTTGCATGCTGCATCCAGACCCACATGTGTTAAACAGGCTTCTCTCACAATGTAGTTGACATGGTACAACTGATCCCAATGGCAGGAGTAAAGAGAGCGAAGATGATTTCCCGGGAGGCAATTCGGATATGAGCAGCGAAGGTCATAGGATTCTAGTTTAAAATCCTGCAAAGAAACAGGTGTCACAGGAATTGGTTACGTATGTGGAATATAAGGAGTATCGAAGGAAACGTAATGCTTCCCATGCTGTAGTACTATGTATAGCACTAAATCTCTGGTAGGGGAATCCTCACCTCTCTAAATAATTAGTTTTCAGCACGCATGAGAATAAAACCAATCAAAGTGCCCAGCTGTCGTTTTCAACAGTGGTAAATAGTTTTAAGATCGTTGACTAATTTGGCGATGCTTGCTTTGTTAACAAAAAGCGTACACCAGATGTCTCATCTAAAGTTCCTTTTTCATTCTAAAACAGTTGTGCCAGTGGTGACTTGATGTGAACTGTTCTTGTTACTGATGGTGCATTGCTGGCTTATAAGATCTTTTTCCCTCCTTTTATGAAGGATGGTGGTTGCAGCTGTCCGGGTGATGTTGCCAAAGCCTTTGGTAAGATTTACATCTCATTGTATATTTATACCTACCAGTTAAGAATTACTCTGACTATCGTTACTGTATTTGTTTTTCTTACAGCAAGTGAATAGTTAACATGTAAGAAGCTATTCTATTACCATCGCCCACAAAATATACAGTTAATTCACTTTACAGTAGATTCTGTGAAGCGCTTTGGGATGTCTCGACGACATGATGAGCTGCTATATCAAATGCAAGGATTATTATTATTATTATTTTGTCATAACTTGTAGTCATCTCTGACACAAGTGCTAAAAAGGGTTGTGGTAAAACAAGGTGATGTTATTGTCCATGTAACATTCTTTATAAGCCTGCTTACCATTCTATCCTGAATTCAACCTGGATATCCAGAAGTGGTTCCTCCATAAAAGTAATCTCCATCTGTGAATGTATCTCCACTCACTTCCCCAGCTTAGATCTACTCAGGTCCGCTTCTGAGTGAATTTATGAATTATCTGCAAAAGGAACGGACAGCCATTTTGTTCATTAAAAGCCTTCACACAATACTTTAGATCAAAAGACTTCTTGCTCAACTACAGTATTCACCCACAAAACACACAGTCACCCCACTTACAGTATAACCTGTGAAATGCTTTGGGTGTCCTCCCAATGTTAATATATATGTGTCAGAAGGTTGTGGGGTGAAGCTCCTCATAGGGACTTGGAATCAGATGCCCGGGGTGGGGGGTTGCATTGTCGGAAGTGCCATCCCTCGAATGAGACATTAAACTGAGGTCCAGTCTGTAATAATAATAATCTTTGCATTTTATATAGAGCCTTATCACATCACATCTTCGAGATGTCTTAAAGTACTTGACTATATTTTGTGGGCGAAACGGGGCAGCCAATTGCACACAGCAGAGTCGCATAAACAGTCACGGATTGTGTGAGCAATTTTTTTTTTTTTTTGAAGGAATCATTATCCCCAGATAAGCGATCCGCCGATCGACTAACAACTGGGTACCTACTTACTGCTAGCTAAACAGAGGCGTGTGGAGTAAGGAAACTTGCTCGACGTTTCGCCCTGTCCGAGAATTGAACTCAGGTCCCTCAAGGCGAGAGCTACAGGACTCCACAATTTGATAATGATTTGATCGCCTACACTATTAGTTATTCAGGTAGATCCACCAGTGGAATAAGCCCCGCTGATAGCACTGTAGTGTGCTGTGTGTCCTCTATTTTACACTGCTTCTTACAATCAGGGCTGCTATCTGTGCTTCACCTGGATGTAAACCATAGTCCAATGTGTTAATGGATAGAAAGGTCACTCCAGGATTGTTTTCCTGAAAAGATTTAAGTATTATAAAAAGTAAAAGGACAGTTACTAATTTTAATTGAGCTATTTTGGGGACATGATTATGCACTGATCTGACCTTTGCCAAGGGATATATTGGGTGGGAGTGATTAGAAGGCAGTAATACGATCAAGCGGTTCAAATGATATCAGAAACTGCAGGAGGGAAGTTTGAGTAATTTGTCAGTCACCTGAATCCTCAGATTGAATTGCTACTCGTCCTTCTCCACTGCCCGTCTAGGATTGATTTTTTAAGTTAGATGACATAACAATAACCTCTCCCATTCCTCTCACTCTTGGGCTTGCACAGAATATCAGGTGTTGTTACAAATGATGTTCACTTGCAGCTGATGAGTTAGAAATGAATAGGATTTTCTTCCCATCAAGGTGGCGATAGCAGAAAACTGTATTGCAAAATGTATTGATGTTTAATAATTCTGTAGTGTGTAGAATAATTATTTTGAAACCTTAATGTACACCAGAGTGATACCTCTACCAATTGGTAATGAGTTTCTGTGTTTGCATGTTTGTTAGTGTGCGTGTGTCTCTTTTTCTGCCTCTCCAACTGTGTGTGTCTTTGTGTGCATCATTCTCACTCTCTCTCTGTGTCTTGTGCATATTTTTCTCTGTCTCTCTTTCCGCTAACTCGTGTCAGCCGGGCTCAGGCAGGTTGTGGGTTCAAGTCCCACCTTGGTACTTTGAACTTACATAATCTAGGCTGGAAGTGCACTGTATTGTAGGAGGTGCCATCTTTCGGATGAGATGCTAAACCAAGGTCCTGTCTGCCTAATAGGGGGACATTAAAGATTCCATGGTACTATTTCAAAAGAGAAGAGAGTTTCTCCCGGTGTCCTGGCCAACAATCCCCCAGATAAAATTGGTCGTTCACTTCCTGAATGTCTGGGGGCTAATGCTGTGCACAAATGGGCTGCCGCATTTGCACAAAAATGTAATGTCACTACACTACAGTAAATCTTGTGATAAACTTCGAGATTTCCTCCTGAAATGATAAGGCGCAATATTAAATGTAAGGATTATTCTTATCTTTCTCTCCATCTCTAACTTTGTGGATGTGTGGGTATTTTTCTCTATTTCTCTTTGTTCCGATTCTCTGGCTATGAGGTGTGTATGAGTGTAGGCATGTGTGTTTGTGTCTCTCTCCCTCTAACTGTGTGTGTGTTTCTCTCTCTCTCTCTTTCTCGCTTTGCCTCTCTAGCTCCCACACTAGACTCCGTGAGCCTACCACCACATGCTCACTTGTTCTCTACTGGCTTCTCATCCTCATATCCTCATCCTAACCTTTAAATCCCTCCATGGTCTTCCCCACCATACCTCTGCAACCTCCTTAAACCTTACCAATCCGTCTGTTCCCTCCACTCAGCGGGCACCAACTAGCTTCATGTCCCTCGCAACTGTTGGCGATTGGGCTTTCAGCATATCTGCTCCAACTCTCTGGAGTTCCCCCTTCCCTCTCCCCCTGGCTCGGGGCTAGACACCGCGACTGTCAAGTGCGCCCCGATGCTACCCAATGTGAAGGACTCTATATAAATGCAAGTTGTTGTTGTCATTAAGCCCTTGCGGCATTCTCCTGACGAGAACGGAGCTATATAAATGTCAATTTGTATTATATTGTTTGTATTGTTTTTTTATTAACGTTGCCCAAGCTAGCAGAATTAATTGTGTGTTAGCTGGGAGCACTCCAGACTGGTCCAAGTCAGGTCCAAATCCAGGTCCAGCGCCTTGGGATGTCCTCCCGACGTAGAAGGCACTTTACAAATGTAAGTTGTTGTTGTTGCAGTCAGAATTGCTGTTTTACTGAGCTGCCCTCTTGGTCTGTTTGCAGGAGCCGGAGCTGATTTTGTGATGCTGGGAGGAATGTTTGCTGGTCATGATCAGTGTGCTGGAAAAACCATCGAGAAAAATGGCAAAATGATGAAGCTCTTCTACGGGATGAGTTCTGATACTGCCATGAAGAAGCACGCTGGGGGAGTGGCTGAGTACAGGTAATGGACTTGGAACGACAAACACCACTGTGTTTACTAACGTGAAGATTAACCAATGTGAAGGGCTCTATACAAGTGTCATTTGTTGTTAACAAACATGGTAAAATGCCACCATCTCCTCACGGGAGAGTGAGAGTGTTTTTTTTGATACACGAGCTTAGTTCTTTAGAAACTTTAAAAACAACAACTTGCATTTATGTAGCGCCCTTCACTTGTGCAGCACCTTTCATGTAGGAAAAAGCATTTCAAAGATGGATTGGAGCCGAAAAGCCTAAATGGAGTGGGGGGGAGCAGGGCGGAGGGGAGTGTCTGATGGCATAAAGAGATTAGATGGCCTTTGAAAGCAGAGAGAAAGGGTTTAAGGCAAGGGAATTTAGGGAGAGTGCTAGAATATGGGGGAAAGTAGCTGAAAGCTCACCTGCTGATGATAGGACAGAGTGGGTGGGAGGCATGAAGCAGGCCTGAATTAGAAGAGTGGAAGGGGTGAGTAAGGAAGTAGGACCACAGTGGATCACATAAGTAAAGTGGGGCAAAACCATGAGGCATTTGCAGGTCAGAATGAGGATCTCACAGTCAAACCCTTGGGGAATAAGGTTAGCGTCAGTGGAGCCTGGTGACAATGGCAGTGATGGGCTCACGGAGCCTTTTGCGGGAGAGAATGTGGGCTGAAGGGTCCTGGATGGTCTGGAGATTGGAGAAGGTAGAGCTTGGAAGGCCATTGAGCAGTGTTGGAGAAGTCAAATCTGGAAGAGATGAAGGAATGGGCAGTGGTTTGGGAAGCATTTGGATGAGATACAAGTTCAGTAATAGTGGTCGGGATGAGGCACAAGTTGATTAACCATATTTCAATAATAGACAAAATCTGCAAAACATTCCAATGAGTTTTTCATCAACTTGCCTATAAAAACAGACACTGTGCTTTACAGTAAACTCTGCAAAGCGCTTTGAGACATTTCAACGTGATATAAGGTGCTGTATCAAATGCAAGGATTATTGTTATAACTTGGAAGGTTACTTTGCAATGATAGAAATACAGTATTTACAGCAGCAAACACAATCCGAGATGCCTTGATATCACTGCTTTGTACACAAACATGGCGAAGTGTTTTTAGAAAGACAGTTACCATGGTGACAGCAGCCACTTAGAAATGGATTTGAACCTTTTTAATGGAGTTTTCCTTGCAGCTTTCTTTTTTTTTAACCTTACATCAACAGCAAATGTTTTGCCTGAGAGTTTCAATAGAAGCGTATTGCAAAATAAGATTGAAACGCTGCACAGCCACAAGGTTGATGTGCAGCACTCTTGATGTAAACCAGGTATCAAATGCAAGGATTATTATTATTATTATTTAGCAATCTTATGTTGTGCAAAAAAACAGAACAACTGGTGGAAAAAACATAATTTTACACTTACCTCAGCGTGTGTTTGCTGCTGTAAATATTTTATTTCTATAATAGCAGTGTAATCTTCTAAGTTATAACAATAATCCTTACATTTGATAGCACTTTTCATGTAGGAAAAACATCTCAAAGAACTTCAGAAGAACAAAATGAGAGCCTGAGCTGGGAGGGAGCTAAGTAAGGGGTGGCCGAAAACATGTTCAAAGATAAACGTCTTTAGATGGACGGGTTTGAAAGCAGAAAGAGAGAAGAGGCAGAAGTTCTTTGGTGTGAAGCACTGCTTTACTGCCCTGCAAATCAGGCATCATCTTATCTGAAAGATATAATGTTGAATATTACAGTGAATACAATGAGGAACTTCATTAATCACCTTCATTTAAAATGCAGATAAATCAAATGAACTAAAATAGGGGCCAAAGCAGCTACTGCATTTCTTACAAATTGGGGTCTTTATTCACGCAAACTGGGCTCAGTAGTTGTGTAGAGGTGCTTTGTGAAATAATGCAGGAACTGGCAGGTAACCCTTTCACAAGTAACATCTGCATTACTAATCCTTGCACTTGATATAGCGCCTTTCATATCAGGAGGACCTTGTTTGTCGGCTTGGATCGTTTGGTAGAAGTCTTGCCTCTGAGTCAGAAGGTTGTTCCAGCCCCACATTGGGACTTGGACTTTATAGTCTAGGCTGACACTTCAATGCAGTGCTGGATGTATTGTATTGTCGGAGATGCCCTCCTTTTGATGAAACATTATACATAATTCTATGTAAGATCTAGGTTCACTCTGTCTGTTCTTTTACACCTAGGGCCTCAGAAGGTCGGACAGTGGAAGTCCCATACAAAGGAGATGTGGAAAGCACCATCCTGGACATTTTAGGAGGACTGCGCTCGACTTGCACGTACGTTGGAGCCGCTAAACTGAAGGAACTGAGCCGAAGAACCACATTCATCCGAGTCACTCAACAGTTTAACCAAATGTTTTCTTAATTTGGAATCTGATAGGGTGATAGAAACTGAGGGAGAGTTTCATTTGCACAGCAGTCTCTTAAGTTAAGAGTTTGAATTTCATTTTATTTTAAAAGACGCACAGTGCAATAGTATTTAATTAACCATTTTAAACCTACTGAAGAAATTGTAAATCTAAAGTCTCCAGGAGAACACTGACCAACAGTTAAATTTGCACCAACTGTGTCTGGCTGCTTTGTGCAGTCAAACAAATTGTTTGGCTGTGAGGTGTTGTTTCACTGAAGACAAACCTTATTCAATAAAAATGTTAGTGCATTGTTTTCAGATATTTATTCAAATGCAGCGCACTCTTGTTCAGTGCAGGAATGATCTCCTACAATTTTTAGCATGCACTTTTCAGGAGGTTACGCGTTTAGATAAGTATAGATAAACGCATTCTGCAGTGCAACAAGTTATTTATTTGAGTTTTGTTTCATTTTATGATTGTGCAAATGGGATGGCAAATGCAAATTACACCCTTCAAGTCAAGGGTTCATTTTAAGGGAACAGAAGAGGCTAGCGGAATATAAAAGTATGGTTTAGCCTTTTAAAAACTGGACCACCCCAGCACACTTTGAATTGGAATCATTCACAACAACAGTAGAAAAAACCCTCTCACATCAACCAGAAACAAATTCCCCAGGAAACACAATGTGCCAACATTTTAATATTATTTTCTGAAACCGATAAATTTTCTGCTCGGTTTGTGTGTTTTTGAATTGAAGGGTACACCTCGTTGCTTTATTCCATTTTGTTTCAAAGATTCTTTGGTGTACTAAAATTCTGAAAATAGAAATAAACTGGGTATCGTTCACTTAGATCCCTGACGCTGGAGGCCTTTGGCATGACAACAGCATAAGTAAAGTCTGGAGTAAGACATTCCTTTTACTTCAGTATTGACAAATAAAACTACTTGGTTTTCTGTGCTCTCTGTGTCGTTATCTAAACCTAAAACAGCTTTTAATCTTAATCTGGATTAAACAGACAGGCTCTAAAAATCTAGTTGTTATATACATAGGGAATCCTTAATAAGATTTCAGTATACTTAGTGTCACAGAGCAATCATCTTACATAATGAGATTGCCCCAAAGAATTAGTCACATAACAAAATTACATTATACAATACTGATCATTTTCTAAGAAGGCACAACTCTATTTAGCCACACCATACACATTTTTTAATCCCTTTTTAACTGGCTGGGTATCGTTGCTTTGCGTTTTTAATCTTACCAAAATAGCTGAATTGAAAAAGACGACAGACATGTCTCAGGTAGTGGGTAACATGAAGCTAGAATGCTTTTCCATAAGTGACATTGAAGGTGAAAGCATACCATCAAACAAGGGATTGGTTAACTGTCTAAAGAGACAATGATATAAAAGGGCACAGGGAAAGAGCATGGAATTGGAGATGGAGCAGACGGTTGCAATTAAGGAATTATCACCACTAACAACAACAAAAACTTGCATTTATATAGTGCCCTTCGTGCAGGGTAGCCATCTCGGAGCACACCAGCAGTGACTGGCATCCCTCTGCTGTAATATGATTTTATAGAGCAGTGAAAACAGGAACAGGAGTATGCCATTCAGCTCCTCAAGCCTGTTATGCCATTCTATAAGATCATGACTGATCTGTACGACAACTCTTGGATTACCCCCCAAAAATAAGTTAAAACTAACCCAGATAGGGTGTATCTGTGTATATGAGTGGATGAGCCCAAATTTATTTCAAGTTATGTATTTACAGTACAATTCACACTTACATAGATCCTTTCATGATGGGGAGACATCGACAATTCTGCTGGGCACTGCGGTTAGCTGAGGGTGGGCTTCACAGCCCCCAAAGACATTAATGTCTTACAAAAAAATTATCAAGTTGGCATTCCATTCGTATTGCAGTTCTCACTTTGTGAACTACATCTTTGCTAAGTGGCATTTTGACACAAACTCATTCACAAAGCTAAGTGCCCCCACCCTCCTCCATCCAGTTCAGGAGTAAAGGGTGTTCTTTCCAACACGGTATCCGCTTCATCTTTGCTCTTAACGGCTTTGTTTCTGCATTATCTTCAACATGAAATCAGAACCGACGTGGAAATCACAAGACATTATGAGTCACATTTCTTGTTTGGAAAGTTATGGCTCGCAAGTTGCAGACTAACAGGAATGCCCAGGTAGGTAAGAGTCACAACGGGGCTCTGTTGCTCAATGCACTGCATTAGAAAAGGAAATCTACAAATGTGCAAAGACAGCTCTAAAGATTAAATTGTGCTGAAAATCTGTTGCAGGCTGATCGGTTAATGCCTACAAAATACAGTCACTACCCTTTGCGGTATATCCTATGAAATGCTATGAGCTGTCCTCCCTACATAAAAAGTGCTTTACAAAATGTAAGAATTATTAGTATTTTATATGTGAGCATTGAAGATGAAAATGTCAGATGAAATCCAGTCATTTCACTTTCCGTAAGAGCTGTGACTTGTACAATTCAGATATCCGCGGCTTTGGTAAGTTACACTTTTAAGTTCTGTGAGGTACACACCTGCACAAGTTTAGTCTTGAGTGACCCCCCTCCTGTGGTTTTCAACATTCATGCTCTTAGCCCATTCCCTTGCTGGTGTTGCTTCTCTTTGCAACTACAATAAGGTCTCTGTGGCTTGGGCCACATTGTGGGGTCTAATTTACTATTTCTGATTGAGGAACTTGAATAGTGTAAATTGGGACTCTTTCTGCTAACCACACATAGGAAACACAAACTCCGCCCGACCCAATCTACGTCAGAGTGGATTTTCTGCAATCACAGATCAATGTAAATTTTAATGAAATTCCTTGTGAAGAACTACCACCAACTCACAGAATACACTAAAGTGAATTGACTGTATATTTCGTGGGCAAAACAGGTGTAATATGTGCAAATTGGCATTAAAGAACAGGTGCACACTGGAAATGGATAACAGATGTCTGCTGGAATCAGATAAGAGATATGCACTGGAATTATAATAATACTAATCCTTGCGTTCAATATAGCGCCTTATCATGTTCTTCAGATGTCTCAAAGCGTTTCACAAATTTTGAAGGACAGTGATTGTCTATTTGTAGGTGAATGCAGCAGCCAATTTGTGCGCATCAATGTCCCACAAACAGAAAGGAATGACCAATTTGTATCTGGGGAATTTGTTGGCCAGGATACCAGGTGAATCTCCCTTATCTTTTCAAATAGTGCAATGGGATCTTTAAAGTGAACCTGAACAGGCAGCAGGACCTCAATTCAAAGTCTCATCCACAGGATGGCACCTCCAACAATGCTCTTCTCTCCCAGCACTGCATAAAGAGTGCCGGTCTTCACTATTAGCTCAAATTCCCAAAGTGGGTCTTGAACTCAACCTTCTGGCTCAGGTGAGAGTGCTACCAACTGAACCAGGCTATCACCTGATTTAGATAATAGGTACACTGGCATCAGGTAATATTCATAGGTACAGAAAGTGGCCAGTTTTCATACTAAAATTAGAAGCTTAAACTTTTTTTTAAAAAATGTAACGTTTTTCTATTTTTGGTTACACTTCTGCATCACTAGAAATTTCAGTGCGAGAAATGCAAGGCCGGTGAGAAGCTAAGTCGATTTGCAAGGTGCTCTACAATGGGGGCAAATCACTGGAATAAAAGCGGAACAAAAGGTTATAATAATAATCCTTGCATTTAATATAGCGCCTTATGTCGTTGAGACATCTCAAAGCGCTTCACAGAATATGTGTAGTGAATTGACTGTATATTTTGTGGGTGAATATACAGTTGCAAATATAAAGGTGCGAGAAAAGAACCACCACGAGAAACAAGCAACTAGAGGAAACAGTTGCGGTTGGCACTGTTATTTTATTAGTACGAGTATACTGAAACAATAAACTTGTACTGGTATACAGACAATTTCTTTTAAAACAAAATTTGTTCAAAGTCTGGATCAAATATTATCATAATAATGAAATAACTTCTAACTAGAAAACCTGCAAGCACCATCAAAGAAAGGGACCATAAAATTCAATAAACAGACCCGAGTGTATCCTACAAATAGACACACCACGGTTAGAAAATAGAATATGAATTCTTCAATTTGTATAATTGTTTTTAAAAAAAGCTAGTGCAAGTACAATATTGTACACTGGAATTACAGAGAATACACACGTGTACGGAAAACGTCCCCCCTTTCACAATAAAAGCTCTCAGCTACGTATTTATGCACTGAAAAAAACTCTCCCGTCATCAGTAAGGTGCAAAACATTATTCCCTCCCCATTTTCCTGTATCTACTGGCCATTGCCATTATGTGACCACAACTTAGTCAGTCCATGAAGAAAACAAAAAAGACTTAAATGCCTCCTCTAATTGATTCTCGATGGAAGACTTAAAACTTTCAATAGGTACTAACAACCATAACATAAACTCAGCCGCAGCAGTTCATAATCTGGGAATTATTCACAAACTGGCTGCACGTTTTTAAAAAAAGCCTCTTTGTACAGTACTTCATCCTCGTCCACCGCCCGTACAGATCATCTTCTGGACACTACACATTAAAATGTACAACTAAATTTGAACCTTCAACTTCTCTTTCCATGTTTTCCCTCTCTTCAAATATATTACAAACAAGGATATGAAAGTCAAAGCTAGTTTCTAAAAAGTATCCCAGCCTTTCAAAAACAAACACTGTTAACTTCCACCAACATTCAAATCTCCGTGTGCAATAGGTTCACATGGGACCTGTGCTAATCACTAGGAGCGCGTGGATTGTTAAACCTCGGAAATCTGGACAAGGTTCCAACCAGATGCTACAAGAAAAGATCCGATCAGTAAAGTTAACACATTTTGAGGCGAGGTCTGTTTTTTAAAAAAAATTAGTGAAAAGTGCTGCTTCTGATTCTAATTGGTGTACTCGGTGCACACCAGCCCATCCCTGAGTAAGGAGTGAAAGGGTACTGCAGGTCTCTCCACTCGTGTGGCCCAGACAAATTAAAAAGGGTTGTTGTAGATGCAATCTCTACAGCTACCAGAAAGTCATTAATATTCCGCACAGTCTACACATAGATGGGTTACCCTGACTACCTTTGTGATTTTTTTTAATGTAATTGCCCACTACAAACTTTTAAAAAATAGGCCTATTTGTCAGTTTAACTATTGCAAATCAGACTTTTGTACAGAGGCACGTGGCTGATCTGGTTAAAACGGAAACGCTTTCTTTGCATTCTGAACCAGCTCTTTATTCATCAATGGATACCAGGGACTAGTTTAAAACAAACGGTAGCAGTACAATGAACACTGAAAAGAAACTAAATCGTTTTTTTTAAAAAAAGCTTAAAAAGTGAACTCTGCGCTATCTGATACATCTTGGCACATAAAAAGGTATTGCACATACTAATATAAGCAAATTTAGGGGGAATAGGTGTTTGGATACAATAATGTGACCTGACATTAATCTACCAACTGGAATTCTTATTTATAAATCAATACATTAAACAACTAACTGAATCATTCATATTGCTCCTGACTATTTCCTGTAGTGTTTCTTCAGTAGATCCAGTCAGTTAAACGAGTCCCTGCTTCCATGCTGGAAAAAACCCTAAGTACTATCACCTATTTAATGTATAGTGGTACTGATTGTTTTAAGCTAAACTCCCGTACGCTGTATCTCTGAACTCCACTGCTCCTCCACTTCAGTAACCTCTTACCATCTAACATTAGAAAAAGAAAGTCAATGCCCTGAGCAAAGTTAATGGAAGGGCTGATGTATTTTACTGAGCAGGAAACTTGTTTTTGTCACTGGGAACCCAGCACTAACCAAGCAGTGTGAATGTGCAATATAGTGAAAATAAACTGTCCAGCTAGTTTGGTGCATTGCTGAGAAATTTAATTAGAACCAACTTCAGCAATATTCAAACCACTTCCCCCACTTTTTTGTTTAAGATTTTGAATCAGCTTTGGATACAATATTAAAAGTTGCAAGTGCCTGCTACAAGCAAAGAAATGAGCTTCCCTTGCCAGCTAATCTTCAAGTCACTTGCACAAATCAAAGTTATCATCCTCGGTTACTTCCACAGACTGCTTTCAGTTTTTGTTTGAAAACCTATAATAAGGAAATTTTGTTCATTTTAAATACTGCATTTCTGATGAATGCCATGTTGAATGTTTTATATTATGTGCTTCAGAAAGCACTGTGTGTGTAGTCCAACAAAAAGAATCTAACTCAACCTCTACTTGAAGATGACTGAAAAGTAAGACCTAAATAAGTAAAACCCTGTACAATTATTTTTGTTTAAATCAGAAGATATATTGGTATACTGTGACATTTATGGGTAAAATATAATTAAGGTGAGAAAACATTTTATTATGCTGACTGAATCCATTTTTTAATTTTTTTTTAAAAAACTTCACTTTTCAGAACCTTGATACTTTTAAAATGGCAAGTTACTGAAAACATTCGTCCTTCCAGCCTTCCTAAGAGATTAATTTCATAGATATGACAGACTTTGAAATAACCACTCAACTTGATATCCCGAGAAACAACACTGTGGAAAGGTCCCAATGCTAAGGCAGGCCAGACAATCACTACATCTCCTCTTAAAAAGAAAGGTAGAAAAAACACATAGACAGATTCACTGTATGATTGTTAACTCTTAAGGTGTGCAAATTGCCAAATGCTTTAAAGTACAACAGGTAAACACCGGATAACCTACAATTTCTCGTCCAGCTTTCGCATCAACTCTCCTGGGTCTTTTTTTTTCTCTTTTGTTGAATCATTACATTTAAAAAAAGTGCTTTCCAATGAAGCAGTCTTTTAACGGACTACTGTTACTTTAATGTCTATCACTCACACAAGAATCACACGACTGACTCATTCTTCCAGACAACTTGAATCTACAATTGGTTCTAGGCTCAACGCCCTCCGAACCACTTCATTCATCAGTTTTCCTTTTTCTTTAAAATTCGGCATATCTAGTTCTATGTTGATAACAGTGTTTTAACAGATATCTTTTCTAAACTCGATATTTTGGTACAATGTTGAGCATTCAGACCAAGATATTCAGTAAATAAATATTACCGAATCGCAAGTGCTTAGACTTCCTGCCACTTCATTGCTGCGTTGCACAACGTTTAAGTAAGCACGGGGGAGGGGGGGGGGAAACAAAGTGGCACCAGTTTTCACTAATTATGAACTGAATTAAAAAAATGTTTAAAAAGCCAGTACCAGAGTTAAAGACAATAATGGATTCCAATCATGATACAAACAATCCAGGTGAGAATTTTCATAAGGGCATTCAATAAACAGTGAACAGTCAAAGCTATGTGGATAGAACATATTTACCACTCTCCTCCTTAAACACCATTTGAAATTATTACAACATGTTATTAACAAAAACCTAAAATAACAAGCAGATAACATGTAAATACTGGGGGGGTTTCTAGCCTTAAGTCTACAGTACAGTATTATAGGTTAAAAAAAATTCAACTACAGCCACTCCCCCAAAGTGCCTTCACTTGCCAATGTTGGACCGTCCTTCAATGCAAATTTTAACCTCCTGAGGAATGAAGGAAGGCTTGGGAAGATTCAAAGGCTGCTCTTCATCGGACTTCTCTATTTTTCGTGTTTCGGGAGCAGACCACCGTCTCTTTCTTGTTGAAGGCTTCCTGACTTCACTTTTGTTGAGCCAAGACCTTGCGGACTGCACTGTAATGGCCTCAGAAAACTTCAGTTCACCATTTTCTGAGACACCTGGGACACTTCCCTGAACAATCCCATTCTCCCGTTCCATGTGCCTGGACCTGCTGCCAGACAGACTATCATTCTTTGGGTGCTTCAGCAAGACACCAGTTGAGTCAATAGGCTGGCCTTTCTTTATAGAGCCGTTTTTCAGATTTTTCAGTGTAAGAGATATGCAAACGTCGCCAACAGAAAGTTTGGAACATGGTAAGCCAAAGAGCTGGGAGGTTCTCTCAGGACAACACGATGACCAGCCTTTCCCGAAAACAAAAAAAGGGTGCTCCACCAGAACGTCAACACTGACCTGGAAATGAAAGCAAAGACAGTCAATTTCTACACGTTTATACACAAGGCACAGAGTTTAACAAGCGCAAAAGCCTGCTGGCATTTTCAGTGCACCAAACCAACAAACCTATCTTAAACATCTAGTTAGATTCAGATAACGTAAAACAATGGTTACTGGACTTTACTCAAGAGTGAAACAAGCACTTTTTTCTCCGCTTTATCATTCTCAATTTGTTAATGAGTACGTTGGTTTTGTGGGATGCTGATCATTTCTTCAAATGATATTGTTCAATATCCGTCCTAAATGTACCTGGATTACCATTACAGTAATCAAATATATTATAATAAGAGCATGTTGCAATCTAATTTTTAGGTTTGGGTGAATACTGCATAAATTATTCATAGATTTACAGACATTATAGACCAGAAGGAAGCCACTCAGACCATTTAAACTATGCTGGTGCCGGCTTCCTCACTGGAGTTACAGGATATGCTCTATCTCAGTTCCTCTATAACCATTGTATATAGAAAACTGTAGCAGATGTCATTTCGCCATTCAAACAACTAAAAGAGAGCAAGAGATTAAAAAGTAGCTAGAAACAAATCTATGTCTGCTAAAACTACGGTACTTTAGCCAAAGACAGTAAGTTCTAAGTGAAAGTTTTATCTGTAATGCAATACGTACAAGAGCCTGAACTCTTTAAAACAGCAAAGTATAGCACTTTTTGGCAGGAGTAATTGCCATTCGCCAGCTACTGTGAATTTGTCCCTTTTACCAATATAGGGGAAGAATGAACATGTCAGGGGTAACACTCATGTGTGTTCGATCGTCTCGATGTTGTGAATGGCAAGTTTCCCCTCCCCCTTCCCTGGGGACCTTTCTGCTGGAGTAATAGCATTGCTGGTTTGCGTAGAGAGTCCGTCCCCCTCACTGCAGTGAGACATTTATATTTGCTGTTGGCAGTCCAGCTGTTTGTGTAGGAGTCCTGAAAATCATCATCTCCTCTGAAGGCAGCAGCCTTTCCCCTTTAAGTTTGCAGTACTGCCACTGCACCAGGGCTGCTTTGGTAGCTGTGGTGTAATCTAAAGGATGAAGAAGAGCAGGGCTGGAGTTCATTACCACTGCTGAAGTGTTGATCTGTGGGTACGCAGTTCCTGGTAAAACCTGAAAAGCTTTCTTCCCATTACATCCAGAGGAATCAAGGAATGACTGGGAAAGCAAAAGGCCACTGTGACTAGTATCAAAGTTTAAAAAAGTGATAAAAAGAATCTGACTTTCAGACCTGTGAAATAGTGTTCTGCAGAGATCATTACTCCTCACACAATCTGAAATCTCCACTATTTCTCTCCACAGCATTCCTGATTACTGCTTACACCACTTCTAAACTAGTCAACCAATTCTTCACTGTTTTACTTAATTCTATGTACACAATCCTCACAAATACTAACTCGTAATTAAGATGCAGCTAAGATCAGCTTACATTTCCTGTCAGTCATTTGTACAAAAACTGCCCTGACTACACAGAGTAGCAATGCAAGGACCAGGCTTGGTTTGAGAAATAAACACTTCCAGTGATGAACTTGTACATTGGTGTAGGAATTGCAGAATTATTAATAAAGATGTATGTTCCTGTACTGTAAAGCAACAGAAGTGGTGCTGGTTGTGGTAGATCAGTCCAATGCATCCACTTTAATAATATTGACCAAGGTAGGGAAGAGAGATGCTTTGTGAGGTTAACAAAAAGATTCGAAATTCGCATGTGTTGAGGCTGACCCACTGGAAAGGACATGATATCACAGAAGTGGAGATTGGCAACCAAGTAGATTTCCAAAACTTCTGTTGCAACATTCTAGGATGCACTAGTTACAAATCTTTACCCCAGGAAGGCAATGTGGTGAATAACCTACAGAGGGAGACAACTTAACCACCTTATGATAAAATGACATTTCACGTGTTTCCTTCAAGAAACAACTGTGTTCACATTCATCAGAGTCCAAGAGGTGGAGTTGATTGATACTGAAGCAAGGGTTAATTGACAATGAAACAAGGGTTAATGAACTGAAAGATGAAAAAGCAGACGACAACAAATTACATTTTTATAGCACCTTTCACGTCAGGAGGACGTACCAAAAACAGCCAAAAACAAAGTGAAAAAGAAACATGAGTAGGAACCTGTTGATTCCAGCATTCTCCCAATCCCAAATAAACTCCCAATCGCTTAGTATCGCTTAGTCTCCCTTCAACACCAACCCACAAAGCGGCCCTTCCAGCTAGAGGTCCAAGGGACTCGTTTGAACACCAGGTCAGTGAGCTCCGGCCTCCCGTTCAGCCCACCTTCATTTTAAGAGGCAAATTAGTTTGAGCACCGAGAAAAACAAACCAAACTAAAGTTACAACAACTTGGTCAGTAAATCGATTCACTAACTAAATTTCACCGCAAATCAATGGATAACATGCAACCAGAAAATGCTCATAAACTTGAGTATCCCGAGCAACATTTATAAGATGTTGTAGGTTTTTGGATAGGCTCCCATCACAGATCTTTTGATGTGGGAGAGAAACATAAAAGACAATGAGTTTATAGACTAGGCTGGACTCACTTTGAAGTTTCAAAATGCTTTCATCTTTTGATCTGAGCTGAACAGCATCTGGCACTTTATTACACCCACTCAGGTCAAACAATTCTGAGACTTCCCTTCCCTTTGGGTAAAGAAATGTCACATTTCATTGAGTTGAACTTGCTGGGATGATCCTGATGCATTCCACATGCTAATGTTCCACATCATGTGGCTGCGCATTTTTTCTGAAGTGCTGTACCTTCCTGATATGAATTAAAACTCATAAACTCTGAATGCCTAATGTACCAAGTTCATCAGTACTGAGAACAGATTGCCATCTCCTCCACTTCCATTTCAGAATGGCATGTTATGGTATCATGCAGAAAATCTCAAGCACTAGAAAAAACATTGCTCTCGACAATACAGGAAAGTTTGCAGAAAACAGTTACTTGAGATCGACTGACTTTTTCTGCAGCAATTAGAGCAAGTGGGTCTTGGGTTCAAAGCTAGGAACCTGTGAATGTGTTCCGAGGCACAAGTCCACGTGATGGGTGCTATATAGTTGCTGTTATTGTTGAATGATTCCCCTCACTGTTGGCAACCTATGCTAAATAATATAATACTGGCAATTGATATAACATCATTGAGACATCTCAAAGCGCTTCACAGAATATACTGTAAATGGGTTTATGTGGGAAGCTATAAGTGGTCTAATTTTGAGAGAAAAGAAAAAGAGAGGGTCCACATCTTTGATTCTGCACACAGCAATATCCCAACCCCAGCCAGGCTTTCAAAGCAGGATAGTTCTTAGGGTCTATATCGGTGAGAAATTCAGTCCCGCTATAATTTCTAGTTAGCAGTGTTTGTAGAGTCCTTCCAATCCCTGAAATTTCCCTCCCTCTAAAATGAAGCCTGTTAGAAACACATTTCTTCAGGTCAACATCTTTAAATCCCTGCTCTATTTTATGTCTGTGAAATGGTTCAATAAATTCATCCTATGTAAAAGGGCGATACAAGGAGCCATGCAAGTGTAAGCTGTTGCTCCAGGGAAACCTGGGATTGGCACATGCAACTTTCCTTACCTAACCCCTTTTTCCTCCTCCTCACAACCATGATTGTTAATATTATATATTCTGGTCGATATCATCTCTTATTATATGGAAAGATATTAAAAAGAGTAGGATCCATCAATTACTGGTTTTTAACTATTCACAATCCAGATAATCAAATGTCAAATCACAAGCTGAACACAGCTTGAGTTACTGTGTGAAGTCTCCAGGATTACTGTGCTTAGAGTAACTTAAGACTTCTTCTGACCTCTTTTCAGTGTGGCTGCGCTGACGATCTGATATGGGGGTGCAAGGCACTTCAAATGGGGCCTTTTTCTTTAAACAAGAAGCCTCATTTCATGAATTGTTCACAGATTGCAACAGTGAAAAATAATAAAGCCACTGGTCAAGATCAGCTATTTGAAGTCGACTTGAAATGAAACAGATTGTATGAACTACCAGCATAGACGGTGTGTAAGTAACGTATCATTAATCTCACCCTAATAATTCAGCACCCTGACTTCAAAGCAATTTCCCAGGATAGACACTTCAAAAGACAGCTGCTGATAGGTGCAGGTTTTCATACAGGGAGGGATCCCACATGCTCTGGTGTTAGCAATCGAAAGATCAGTTTTATCTCAACAAAGGAGGAATTTTTCCACTCCCTTCAAATCATCCATTTCATTTAAGAATGTGAGGGTATAAAGATCATTGCATGGGCTCTATCACGATTGAATAAAAACTATCCATTCAACTCTGCAAGATATTTTTCCTTTTGGGGATGGGGGAAGAGATGGAAGTTTAAATTGCTGCCATTTATGCCTCTCTGATGTCCTCCTGACATGAAAGGCACTATACCAAGTGAAAGTATTATTATTATTAAAATTCAGCAAGGGGGAATAAATATGCCAGATCAACAAGGGGGAATATATATGTGGGCCAGATAATTGGACATCATGTGATATCGGGAGAAGATAAGAGACTTTCAGAAGGTCCTTCGGCGAAGATGATCATTCTTCCTACTAACTCGACAGTTTTCCAGTTACAAATCAAGCCATTTCTTAAACGCGTTCACTGTCCTCACTTGAACCACTCTTCCTGGTAACACATTCCAGCTGTTGACTACCCTCTGTGTAGAGAAAAACTTCCTGGTGTCTGTCCTAAATTTTTCCTTCACAACCCTGAACCTGTGCCCTCTTGTCCTGCTGCCTTGGCATATCAAAAATATTGTTCAGGGTTTTTGTTCTGAATATTTCTAAAAGGAGACTTCTGAGATGTGCCTTTAAAAGGTTGTACATTAATGCTCATTCCTCAAATACTGGGGATCACCTTCAATGCTCTCTTTACAGCAGTTCTATGGCCTGTGCATTCCTATTAACACTGTGCACAGTATTCCCAGGTGCTGTTACCAGAATTTACACTATTCCCAGGTGCTGTTAACAGAATTTCAGCATGATTTCTGTGAATTTGAATTCAACTGATTTAGTGACGTAGCCCAGCTGTCATGTTTATTGCTGACTCATATTGTTTCAACATGGTGAGTGATGATTCAACAAGTATCCCACGTTCTCTTCCAACTAACTTCGCCCCATTGACAAATTTTATCCCATTCTTTGAGTAAGTGTGCCTAGTATTTTTGCTTCTTGGGCATTCAGCATCTCTGCCCCCACTCTGCAACTCTATCCCAAAATCCCTCCGCCTCACCCCCTCTCTTGCCTCCTTCAAGTCCCGTCTAAAGACCTTCTTCTTCGACCGTGCCTTCGGCCACCCTCCCACACCCCTCCCCACCCTTCCTGACCCCAACTTCCTGCTCAGGTCCAAAAACCTCTGACTGTCCAGCACCCTGAAACTTCTTCTGATGTGAAGGGTGTTATACAAGTGTAATTTGTTGTTGATTTGCCAGTGATCAACCCCAGTGCACATTTCATCAAACTCTTTTTGCAAGACCTTGGCTGTCTTCCTCTGATTCCAGCCATCATCTCCCTTAACCTGGTGATATCTGGGAAGTTAATTACCTTCCCTTCAGCCAGTTGCTAATCCATGACCATGTCCATGATTTATTCTTGATTCCCAATAGGAAGGAAAAGAGCAAAGACAAGAACAACAAATTGCATTTATATAGTGCCTTTCACATCAGGAGGACGTCCCAAGGCACCAGAAAGTCGAGAGTTTGCACCCGAGCTGGGGGGTTGGATTCAGGAGAGGTGAGGGTGGGAAGACAACCAAAGGTACAATCAAAGAGGAAGGTCTTGAGCTGGACTTTGAAGGAAGTGACCAAAAGGGTGAGGCAAAAAGGACGGCAGGATGGAGAAAAATAAAACCATGACAGTTGGTACAGCAGGAGCAGACCTAAACAGATTCTTTCCCCAAGATGGTATTTACAGAGTGCTCCTTTAACTGGAACAATACACATGTAACAAAAATGTTTTCTCTTTCTACAATAGGATAAGAGCTTTGCTTGTTGTTTTCTTGAAAGAAAACTGTCCCACAGGGATCGTGGAGCAATTATCTACGTTTAAGAAATCAGTTGGTAATGTGCAAGATTCGGGGTCATTTCAAATTACTTTTATGTGGGTGGGGATGCAAAGGGAGTAGAGAGTAAAACTTTGGTTTCTACAGCGGCAAGAAAATACAGAAAGAAAACAAACACATCCTGAGACTTCTGTATGGAAATGGCAGCACAGATGTTGACTTCTGGCTATGGTCAGCGCCTTGGGACGTCCTCCCGACGTGAAAGGCGCTCTATAAATGGAATCTTGTTGCTGCATTGGACTCTAAAAATGTATACATAGGATCAGGGAAAAGGGTACAAGAGCGGAAACAGAGAGCAAACAAGTTAGCAGCATCTTAATTTGAGAGGCATGGTTAACAGAATACCAATAACTCTACTGCTGGGTTGAGCTCTATCGCCTTGCAGTATGATTTACTTGGGCCACTCTAGAAATTACGATAGGGGATAATAATAATAATCCTTGCATTTGATATAGCACTTTTCACGTCTTCTAGATGTCTCAAAGCGCTTCACAGAACATACTGTAAAGTGAATTGACTGTATATTTGTGGGCGAAACACGGCAGCTAATTGCGCACAGCAGTGTCCCACAAACAGTCGGGATGGTTCACACAAACAGTACTTTATAGGAATTTGTTGAGCAATTTCCAGGAAATGTATATATTTTTTGACTGAGCAGCTGCTTACCTTAAACCTCCAGTTAGGATGTGAAAGGAGCTATACAAATGTAATTTGTTGCTGTTTTTGGATGGATATAATTCACTCTGCACCACCGCTGCCATCAGATGACATTCAGAGACCAGCACTGAGACAAAACATTCTGCCCTTTCCCAGAATGAGGATTTTAAGACACTGGCATAACTGATGCAATGTGTGTTTCTGCCTCAAAGGGCCATGAATATCAAATATTAAAGTTCTATTTAAAAGTAGGCAGAAGGGCTTATAGATACTTCAGGGGCATAGGGCAATGGGACACCAACACAGAGTCACAGGTCTCTGGTTTATAACCATTATTTCCCCAGTGTTCCTAATCTCACCTGCGGTATCACAAGAGAGACTTTACTGAGGTGAAGGAGAAGCAATTACAGCGCTAACCAATCTGTGATACCCTCACACATCCCCTTAAACCTAACTACAGAATAAACTGTGGAGGAGGGATTAAAACCTACACAGTGATTGGAAAGAATTTTGTTTTTAAACAAAGAGACATTTTCTCCTGTATGAGCCAAAATTCAGAGTGAAACCCAATGCACAATTTTTCTGTCAACAATCCAACAGTAAGCTTCATCCCAGACAAGTACATGAATTACCCATACTACAGACAGCAACTTGTTATCTTCAAATTTGTTACTTCGCAAAGAAGGTGTATGCAGCTGGATTTTGAGTGAGGTGCGTTGCACATACATTTGGATATGAGCAGTTTGAATGACGTTAAAATGAAGTTGATAAAGAAATCCAAGAGCTCAGGGTTCTTGAGGGTTGGGAGTCAAACAATGAACCTAAATTGTGTCAGAAAGAATTACCAGGTTTCGAATTTGTAAGCTTCAGCGTAGAATGATATAGGCTGTGGAGAAACCATAATATCCCAGTGGCCAGTCTACTGTGATTCAATGATACCCCAAACCTTTTAAAAGCCTGCACTTTTAATGCCACAAAGCATAGTCCTGGGCTCTACTCTACACCCAAAAAACACTCCCAAGATTTATGAATCTGTGGAAGTTTCAAACTGAAGAGTAATTTACCAAATAAAGTTCATATTACTATTTTGTTAATAGGTGTCAGCCTGGCTTCAGTTGGTATCAACCCCCTGGTTTGGGGCAGAAGGTTATCAGTTCAAGCATCACGTCAACTGTAGTGCTCCTACTAAAACCAGCTGATGCACCAACCAATTTTAAAGGAGGACGGAAAGGGATATGAAAAGATAGGAAAAGTAATCTTATGCGGATTGTTATGGTTTTTCCTTTAGCTGGAAGTTCACTTCAGATGGCACTTTAGTGCTGCCCTCAGGGTGAACTACTTTCACGACGCAAAGAGCTTCAGAATACCCAACCGTCCGATCGGTCTACGCGGTGTGCCTTCATACCTGTGTCCTGTGCTCTCCGACCGCAAACTGCAGAACAGCAAAGCCGCTGTTGTGGCCAGCCTCGACTCGCTCCACGGTGCTCGAGTCAATCTTCAGGTCGCTGCTGATCTCAGCGCTCTGTATGAAGTCCTCGGTCTTTAAGTCTTCGACTCGCTTGAGCTCTCCGTTAGCGAGCTGGATGATCGAGCCTTTCATGAAGTAGGGGGGCAGTTGGTTGGATGTGGTCACAGGGGAGCTGACTGACTGCACCGGGGGCAGGTGCACCTGGGCCTGCACAATGGTGGTGTGGTAGGCCGGCTGAGGGACAAGTGATTCGGGGTTATAGTTCTCGCTCTTGGGGGTGGCCGTGCTGACGAATGGGTGAGGCACTGCAGCAAACTGAGGAGACGTGGTCACAATCGTAGATGTTACTCCTGATCCATCGGCCGCCGAGCCACACACAGGAATGAGGGTGCCTGGGATCATGAGGTGCTGTTGCATGTTCCCGTGGTAACTAAGTGCTTGTTGCTGGCTGCTGATGTAGCCGATGAGAGGCTGTTGTGGAGCGGGATACACGGCACTGGAAGGTAGTCCTACTGGGAGATGTTGTGTGGGGTTATGTGTGGTCTGAATGACAGTATGTGGGGGAAAAGCTGCCTTGCCGTGATTTAAGTTAGTCTTATCGTACACTGCCAAAGGAGAGCTTTCCCTGTCTATGGCCTGTTGGACCTCCAGATCTGTAGTAGGCGTATGACTGTTCGGTATAATCATTACTGAGGTCCTGCGACCTAAAGTTTCGTGTGCATTATAATCAGCAGTACTTGGGTGGACAACCACATGGGCTCCATGCCTGATTTCATAGTGCCGAGCCATGGGCTTGCTTCCTGCCTTTTCCATGTTCATTTCTGTGTTGGGGGAGATGGCATACCTCCTGCTTTTTTCTATTTCGCCATTCAATACTTCCCTTCTTGAGACAACGTGCCTGGTGTCTTCAGCCTTCCTGGCAGACTCCCTCGATGTAACGTGGTACCCGGGATTGGCATACTGAAGGACTACCTGCGACGGGGCACTGACTGTGAGGCTGTGCGGAATCAGTGTAGAGTGAGAGTGCAGGGGTAGAGGGACTGCTGGAGGGGAGAGACATCGGGTCACGTTCGGAGAGGAGCTTGGAATCTGCATGTACTGGCTTTGCAACGAAGGAGGAGAAGATCTCGTGATCATTCCAGACGGCCTGATCATATGCTGCTCAACCTTATGCTGGGATGGGCCGCCCGTGTTGGTGAGGATGGTAGAGTAGGGTTCCAGGTGGGAATACTGAGACGGAGTGGCAGAAGAGGAGGAGGTCGTTGGGGAAATCAAAGGGGAAGGGATGAAGGCAGCAGGTCCCGGATATGGTCCACCGTAAGATGACCCAACGAACTGGAAAGCAGCGGGCTGCAGCTGGGCATACTGTACTGGAGACACGGAGGTTCCTGGCTGAGATAGTGCAGAGGATGAATAGACAGCACGAAGGTGCGTTACCCCAGGAGCCGCTCGAGTGTTGCCAGTTGACGAATAGTCCACGGGTGACGCTAGTGGTTTATAGAGTGCTACTCCTTGTGGTAAGCAAGTCTCCATCGCCATTTCTCCTCCTGTTTTGACATGTCCGTACCTCACGCCGACACTGCTTTGGCTGCTAGCTACGTTGGCGAGCCATGCTAGGTTTTCACTGCGACTGCTGTCACTCACAGGAGCTGCTGCCACCACCTTCTCCTCCAACGGCAGACAGCTGACAGGAAACTCTCGCTTTTTGGGTGGTAAGCATTCGTTGCTGCGCTCCTGGTTTGATTTCATTTTTATAGACTCACTTAGTGTCTGTTATGCTTGGATTCTAGTTTGAGAAATTGGATGTCACATTTGTTTTCTGGCAGCTCGACCCAAAATGATCCAAGAACTGCATGAGGCATCATTTCCTCTAGCCAGAATTTATTTTTTTACACACGCACAGCTGCTCTGGAATCTGAAATGAAAAGAGAGTTTCAAAACTTTCACACTTAGCAAACAAGAGGTATTTGCCAACTCAAGCAATGGTAAATTTACAAATTGCTGAAAACTGACAAGTTGTACTAACAAAGCTATGTACGTGGAGCCCCATTTATGCTTACTCCCTGCTCTGAAATGGGTTTCTTTAATCCAGGGCTTTAGAAATACAATCAGTGCAGATTCATTTCTCCACTCATTCCTCAATACTAACCTGCCAGGCAGGTGTAGTGCGAATAGAGTACCACAGAGCAATCCTCAATAATAGTGAAAGCAAGCTGCACTTCAGCAGACTCACAGTACGCCTTTTCATTCATTGGTATCACTGAGATCTTCCTCGTCTCGTTCATGAAAACCTGGCTGATTTAAATATTGGCTGCGGAGGAAAAGGGAGGATGGGAAAACAGGCAGGATGCTGTACAACTCTTCACAACTGGTTGCAACCAGCCTGAAACCCAGGACGAGGCTGATGCCTTTTCATACTAGCACCTTAAATTCCAACAGTGTTTGCCATTTCAACCTGGAAATCAAGTAGGCTAAATGGGTGTGCATACTATCACATTGTGTATTACTGCTTACAAAGATGATCAAATTTCTGAGCTTAATTCTGATCAACATGAAAGGCAGAGAATACTTCCTATTTTCCAACTCAAGTTCTCACTAACGTGCAACACATGTTAATTATTTCATTGCACTCACAGTATCACTACAAACCAAGGGGAATAAAACAAAACAAAATACTACTTTTCAAACGGTTATAACTGGTGGTGGTACAATCAATAAATAAATCATTAATTGTAACAGGCCTTTGGAATTTAGAACTTTGTTTCTCTAACTAAACTGGGATCTTTCACTGGGAACAGCAATAGTTATAAAATGCAGCTGAATCTCTGCTATGGCTTGTGGGTAAGAGCTATAGTTACAAGAACATGCCCAGGCTACAGATAAACTCTTATGAGTATTTTAAAAGCCCTATCCAAGCTGTGGTTGAATTTAGCTCTTCCAGAAACTCAACTTGCCCCAAACTCTTACTAAAAATAACAGGCGGGTCTTGGACTTACAATATGTGATTCACACATAAAAACTCAAACTAACACATTACTATAAAAGAAAAGACAGTATTGTCACGAGTGTGCTCTAGATTACTTTGGGAGAAACTCACAGGGTTGACAACATTAATTTGCACATATATAACAATAGTTATTTGTGTATTTGATGTAACGCCTTATCATGTTATTATGGGATACACTGTAGAGTGGTGTGACTGTTTGTATTTTGTGGGCTAACCCTACTGCCAAATTTTGTGCACTCCAATGTCTCACAAACAGCCTTGGAGTGAGTGACACATTTTTATTTGGGGGGAATGCTAGCCAGGGCATCAGGACAAACTCTCTTCTCTTCTTACCTTATGCTTAGCTTTAAAAGTGGCTGTATTTCCAGTTACAGAGGGGGGCAGCTGGTTGCATAGCTCAGCTGCCCAAACAGGGCAATAAAGCAGATTGACCTGTGTATTAATTAGTTTGTAATCTTTTGGGAAAGACATAGAAGCTAGAAACAATGTCAGACATTGGGGTCTATTGTCCACAAATACATGCATATTTCACGCCAGGTGTAAAGCCTGTGTCACAAATTCCATAATTAATAACCAATGAATCTTGACTGTTAATTATGTAATTACTCATTTTCATTGTACGTTCATTACCTAATCTGGGGTACCTGTTATTTCCATTTGTGAACACACGGTTTACACATAGCGCATAATTCTGGGGGGGTCAGATGGGTGTCTGACGCATGCGGAAACCCATCACAATGCTTAAAAGTATCCAAACCAAATTATACCTTATATATCAACTATACATGGAAATTCCAGAGATGGTTATTGGAATGGAATGTGGACTCTCTCCCTGGAGGAACGCATCTACTTACCTAATGGAAAGTATTAGGTGCAGGTTGGCAAGAGCCAAGGCTTGGGGTGTGCATTTGGCTGGTTAGCTGGAAACTATCCAGCTAAAATCACATTCCTTGCTAATGAAAGTACTGTCTGGTACGCTTTCCCGCTGCTTGTCCATTCCGGACCACCCTACCTGTTAGTACTTTGGCTTGCAGGGTTAATGGGAACTGAATGGGAAGAGTCCCTGCCCCCAGTGACTGGTCTGCCCCTCCAAGTCCTACTGATGATCCAGGCTGGTTGTGCTGTCATCAGCAGTGCCCTGGAGTATTGTGGACCCGCTTGGCTCAGAAACTGGACTATTGAGACCGCCACAGAAGTTTTGCTCAATTCTGATATTGGGTTGCCGGACACGTCAAGCACCTCAGAATCATTCCTCCTATTATGAAAAGTGTCTTGTAATATAGGAGTGGTACCCACAGTAGTCGGTTTCTGAATCACATGACAAAGTTCTGTAATATGAATACAATAGTACCGATTTCTAAACGTGTGAGTGCGTGTTAGGGAATAGAGTTTTCTAGGTCAGATAATTGGACAGGTGGGGTGTGTCGGGTGGAGTATAAATACCAGCTCAAACTAGTTGGCCCAAATGACCAGTTTCCATGCTGAATCTCTTTATGAAAGTGTATGTATGCGCACACTCACTCGTGCATATATCTGTGCAGCAGAGCTATCAGAATGCAAACTTTACGTGTTATGAGAAGTGCCTCGGAGGAAGTGAGAAGCAAAACTCAAAAAAAAAACAGGGAAATTTTAATTATCTGAACAGCTTATTTGTAGCTCAAGCATTTACAGAAGACATCACTCTGAAAGATACAGGTATTGACAATTTTGAAAGGACACATTAAGCCACGTCATTGTCCAAAAATACTTCAGCAGTAATTACAAAGATTTTCTTTCAATATTAAAAAGAATTTACATCCTGGAATTATGTGACTGAAAAGGTACAGACCAGATCAAGAAGGATGATAAATGAATCATTGGGTGGATGTTGCCAGGCACTGAGAAGACAGGAACTGGTAAACCTTCCAACTGTTCCCACTGAAACACATCAGCTATTTTGTGCATGTTATCTAGAAACAGTTGGCTGTTGGGAGTGTGCCACCGACTGTAACACAACCTCAGCAGTTCTGGTGACTGTATAAACAACAAGAGCTTTGCTTGCACGATTCAGGATGTCATTAAGACGCTCTCCCTCGCCCCAACTTTGTTACAGTGCCGCAATGCACTCCCAGCCAACTGTTGTACTATATATAGCACTGTACATATTATGAGGTCCACGTCAATCACATGGGTTATGGGACTAATGGGCATTCACTAATGTACAGAAGCAAACACAACTCCAAGCTCAATCATAAATCAACCATCCTACTACATGATTATTCCTTGCATGGATGTTTGAGAGGCTTTACCGTGTGCATATCTTGTTTGCAAATGACTGCTATGTTTGCATATAAAATACCATCACTATAATTGACAGTAATTAGCGTAACATTTTCAAGTGATAAGGCACTATATAAATGTAAGTTCTTTCCTCCCTTCTTCCCTGAACCTACAAGCCTTGCTGTTTCTCTGGAGTGCAGCCATGCTCTGGTATCTCACCTGGGTGTCCATTCTTTATGCGTCAATCAATGAGTGTGGCTAGAGGATCTAATTGTAACATCACAGCTGAGCTTATAATAGATTTTATATATATATCGATTATATAATAATAATCCTTACATTTGTTATAGCGCCTCATCACGTCTTCGAGATGTCTCGAAAAGCTTCACAGAATATACTGTAAGTGAACATGGCAGCCAATTGCGCACAGCAGTGAGCACACTAGGTGTGGGACAGCTTGACCTGTTCTTGTCTGAATCCCCACATATAAACTTCCAGGAAGGGTCAGTAAACAATCAGCAGCAGGAATAACGTGCAAGCTTGCTTCTATCCATTCCAGGGACATTGAGGTCAATTAAGCATCCCCGCTGCTACAGTGACTGAGGTCAGCAATATCCTATCACAGCAGAAAGCAGATTGAAACAGAGAACATGATATACATAGCACAATGCAACATCACATGCACTTACCACTGAGTCATTGGGAAGGGAAGCACTTCTGTTTTTACAATTAGCTTTTGAGACTAATGTATAGTAGAAGGAACATCAGTTGTATTCACAATTGAATGGTGTTCTCTATCAGTCATTTCATTACTGTGCTTTAATTGAAAAATTAGCATGCATCAGCAACTTGAACTTATAGAGCTGCCTTCATGCAGAGTGGCGGCTCAGAGCATTTAACAGTGATGGAGCTTGATACCGAGCTGGGGAGAGGAAAAATAGGTGTCCGTAAATTCGACCGTAAATTTGAGTCAGACCCACGTGCTTATTTGCAGCTCTTACTCATTTTAATCAGCATGTAGGCAATCACTTTGTACTCTCCCTGCATAGAAACATTCTTGCTTAAATCTGGGGCATTCAAAGCTTCTAAATGAAGCTGTATTTTAATGTTAAAGTGACACTGCAGCCCAGGGACACATCCTATTCACAAATTTGAAACAGCAAAGTGTTGCTTTTCCGACAGTGGAAAATAATTTTAGACATGCTCAAGGGTCTAAAAGCCAACTAACCCTCAGACAGATGAACTATAACCTGGGGCGCTTAATGAGACAAGACAGGAGACTTGTATAGTGCTGATAGACATTATGAGGGAGTCGATCACCAATGGGGAAGTTCCAACAGACAGGAAATGAAAGGTGGTAGGGCCATACTTGGCAACTACAGACCAATTAAATCGAGCCTAACAATCAGCAAACTAATAGAATCGATCATAAGAACCAAAACGGAAGATTTACCTATAGGAAAATAACCTAATAAATAATAGCCAGCAGGGCTTCGGAATACTGATAAATTCAGCCCAATAAAAGAGAGAATAAATAATCAGTAATGGTGTCAACTGTATATTAAAAGTCACAAATTACAGTAATGCTATAAATCCAAAACAAACTAATTGTAGGGGAGAAGATTCTTACGGACTCGTCTTTAT